AAAACAACAATTGTCCTCGTTTATGGACATAGTTGAAGAGATGAACACAACAAGGCAGTGAAGTCGAGTTCTCTCCAATGAGTTTTTTTTAGACAAGGATTCATCTCGTCCAACCTGTGTCATGCATTTACCACTGCCTACCACCGACGTTAAGACTTAAAATATATTAAAGTTCAACCAAAAATTCCCCAACTCCTCACTGCTTCAGTAATACGACATGAAGCAGATGTACAGTTGCTATGGTTTCCTGTAGTTAATGGAATATACATTTGACGGCTCTGGAAGTAAAGGTCTTATTAATTTCCTGCACTGTTGGAGCACAGAAGGCTTCAGTGGAGAGGGCAATCTCTACTGAATTCATAAGTACAACAGATTTTCAACTTTGTTTAAGTGCTGCTTCTTTGATAAAAAATAAAACTCAAAAGGTGAAATTTGTGTATGTTAAACATGTAAAGAAAGATGTCGACTGTGATGGACGACCTCAGTAGGAGACCTCCAACCATTGAGCCTAAAATTATGCACAGTCTTTTATGCTGATGTTGATATGGAGCCTCAATCCACCTTCCTATGTCTTAATGAATGGAAGCTGCGTGATGGTTACTGTTGTGCTATTCAGAGCATTCCCGCTATAGCAAACTGCCTGAAAAAAAAAAAGATGTAAAATAGCTCAAACTGAAAATGGAACTCGAGTATCCAGCAATCTCCTGTGTTTATGTGGAGGAACATTCTGCTATAATTCTTTTCAAAAAATCCCAAATCAAACCACATGCCTTTTCTACCATTTGTATTCACAGTCTCTGTCCTCGTCTGCTGTGGTGGATCGAATTGTTAGTGGCGGGGTGCGCCTATTTCACCACTCAAATTGCTCTCACACGCACAGAGAAAAGGCATGAAATGATGCGTGGATACAATCCAGCATGACTGTTTTTCCCATTTATACCAGATCCACTGTTTGAGCGTTCGCTCTCCAATAGCGACATCACAGCTGTATTAAGTTACAGCCCATGTGGACCCAACACAACGGTTGCTTTCAACGAAAAGCACTCAAGCCGAGCTTTTAGGCAAAGAGCAGCGGGCTGCACACCTGCAGCCGCCTCGGCGAAGGCCGCCGACTCGTTTTGCGCCTCTTGGTGTTGCTGAGTGGAAAACCACTTGCACCATAATCAACGAGCAATACGGTTTCGTCGCTCTCGGCATAATGGAAAAAGGCCAATTATTTTTGTTGTTTGCTCGGAGGTGCTGTAAATAGATTGCTCCTCCGCACCGTTCCTGACAGAGTTTACGAAAGGCCCAGAATTCTACGACCTGCGTTTAACCACACGACAACCGAGCACTGACGTCTTAAAGATTAGCGCTTCGGGATATAATTAAAAGAAAAGAAGGTGTTTTAATGTTGACCGGAACTGAGCTTGAGGTTTGGGGTTCCGCTACGATGTAACACAACGCTGCCGGGCAGTCCGGATGCTCTTCCGGCGAACCGGGGCTCCCTTTGGACGCGGTCCCGTGACTGCGCGTGGCGCCCAGAGTTACGCGGTGCAATCCCAGGCCCAGTTTCTACAGCGGTAACTCGTTGATGAATGGAACGCGCCGTGCTGGTAGAAACCCTCCCGGTGAGATAAAGCAGGCTGCCCCGACCACTAATGGCCCTCTCCAAGTGTTCCCGTACCTTGGCGAGTTCCGGTGACACGATTGTCTCTAACCTCTCCGCTCCCTCATGTGCGATAGGAGGAATATCTGAAAAGGTGCTTCGCATTGAGAAAGAGCTTCCAGCCGCCTCTGATCTTTTATTCATCACGTGTCGTTGTGCGTCTGCCTCCCCTCTCTGATTCATCAGCACATTATGATATTGTTGGTGTTGCTCCCGACGGGAGAATGGCGTGAAACTGTATTCCTTTCAATTCCATTACTAGGTCAGCTTCTGGCAATGACCCCCTTAAAAAAAAAAGCATGTGTCTGTATTTGTGTTTGTGCGTCGTATCTACTGACTCATTCCTCCGCTCTCTCTTCCACTCTCTACGTGGGGGAGTTCATCCACTGCATTATGAAGAAATCAGTTCCACAGGTAAATCTATTGTTGTAAAAAACGTAAGAGTGCACCCGGGCCTCCTGCTAACCGGCTCAATTAAACATTTACGGAGGAAGGCAGATGTGATTAATACCTCACTCAGGCCGTTAAGATTCCCTGCTTGGTAGCACTTGTGTTTGCTGCTTCATTATGAAAGGGTTACTGGTGGAGGAGATACTGACCGGGAAGAACTTCTCCCCCCTCCCCTCTAAAGCAAATAGAACATCGGTCTGTTTACCCATAGATCACCGCGCACAGGTTATTTAGTCGCAACGCCAGCAGCACGAGGCGAACAGATTGAACACGCCGTGTTATCGAAGGCCGTTAAACACGGAGCCGCAAGCAAACACTCGTATCCTCCCTGTTACTCGAAAGAATACAGTCATTTGATCCATTGTTTTAACACGCACACATATTGATCACAGCTGCTTTACATTTTGATGCGTTTAAAGGAGGTGTGATGCTTTCAAAAACAAAGATATTCCAAAAAAAAAATTGGTTTAAAATTAAAATTCGATGTAGATGTAGAGGTGTATAATTTAAGAGTAAAAAGGCAAGAGGAGAGAGTAAAATAACGCTGTTAGTGAGTGAATTAACTGGTGGTACGTATGGAACTGTGGTTTTCACCTGAGACTACTGTGGGAATTGTCACTTTCCGTAACAATGACGTTGTTCAGCTCTAAGAGACCCACTTACTAAGAGAATGAGGGATTTATTTTACGTGAGCGATTTCTACAAACTCCGTGAACCTGTCGCCATTATGCAAACCGAAATGAGCAGCTTTAACCGCTCGAAAGCAGGAGACGCTCAGAGCCGACAGAGTGACGTCCCGGGGGACTCCTGCTCGCCAGGAGGTAGACGCCAGTTAAAATTTCACAGCCGGGGTGCGTGTGTCTGTGCGAGGTCACGCAGAGTCTTTCCCCGCCTCTCATGCTGCCATCACATAACCTGTTTTAAGTCTATTTTTTGCCTGTTTCATTAGTAGCTTATAAAAGAGTCAATGTGGGAACCATTAGGTGGAACAGGCAAAGTAACCTCAGTCTGAACTGGACGAATTACACCAGACAGGTAATCAAAAAGGATTTTAATAAATGAATAAATTAGTTAAAAGGGATTTTTGGTGTTTTCACAACACTAATTATATATTAGTATTCTGTATGGTAAAAGAATAAGTGTAAAGAGAGAAAATATAAAGAATAATATTTTCCTGCTCCATGAGACTGAGATTTAACATTTTGTTCTCATCAGTGAAACTCATACTAATTGCAATAAAGTTATTATAGTTTTTACATGAGCAACATTACAAGCAATGGAGGATAATAATATGGCTTCCTTAGAACATTTATATGAGTGAAAAAATGAAGTAGACAAGGAAAAAGCATTTTAAAATAAAAGTGGGGGCAATTCGCCGATGATGTAAAAAATAATTCAACAAAGAGAAACAGCTTTTGACTCATAGCACTTACTTGATAGTTGCTATTTTAACATGGATAATATTTAGGTAAAAACATACCGACGCATACTGGGTGCCATGAATACTGTGCGAGAAACTTTATAACTCAATGTCTGGGTATTTTTAGAATGATCGACAGGCCAACATCCAAGAAAGCAGCTGAAGTCCTAAAGTTTTATAATGAAAGTGAAAACTGTATAAAACTACGACTGTTATTATTTCATGTCAACTCCTCAAGCAATTTGCCAACGGGGCATCGGACGCCTTCCTCGGAAGCTGTCATTTGACAACTTAAATGCATCTTTTTCTTTAATACCTCATTCTACTTGAATGTTGCTGGTGCAGCATGCGGCCGGACGGAGAAGGGAGATTGAGGACGGAGTCCTCTCTTTCTTCCAAAGCCGCAGGGTTTCTCCCCTCCGCCGCTGATGGCCTGTAATTGGTGTTTAGCGCTGTTGTGGAGAGGCCTCAGCAGCCGGGTGGCTCCTGTGGCTGCCTTTCAATGTGTCACTGGTTTCCCGTTGAGGCTTGTTCACTCTTTGCTTGAGGAATAGCGAGCATTTACTGGCTGGCCGCTCAGGCTTTTTACCCAGCAGGGTGCAGAGGAAGAAACCCACCAACAGCCGTGCTCCGCCGTTCTTTGAAGGACGGTTGGATTGGTAAAAAAACTATTTTATGTGATACTTACTATTTTGTTAACACCCCTCATTTATAAATATTCACCTTCGTGGTTGGTACTGGTTGGCAGGTGGTGGAATGTAAGTGCATTGACTCAAGGGCTGTACTTATTGTAAATCAATTGGTTCTCCATAAAGACTATTTTATTTATCACATGTTGTCCTAAAGAAGACTCATACATGTCCCTCACTGAGGGCAGCAGGCAGCTCGCCATCACAGCTTTCCCATAGGTGGCACTGTTGGCTCTTATGAAGGACCTGTGGCACAACAGGTTGCACGACTCCACTTGGTCTCCTCGCTGAATGGACACCAAGGATCCATTAAGCGGGTTTATGGGAGAATACACATGTGACGTGGGCTTCTTTATGTCTTTGATAGCCACTCGCACCTGGTTTTGAAGCAATGTATTGCTCTCTGTGTTTTGCTTCTTTACATTGTGAATTATGCTGTGGAATTTGATTATTTAAAAAACAATTATGAAATAGTCTCGTCCCGTGTGGAATAAATACACCTCATGCAGTGGTGGGCACTTTCAACTGTGATTGTCTGTACCGGTCTAATGCTCCTTTTCGCCCTTCATCCAAAAAAATACGAGGTATGGAGACCTCTTATAATTTGCCACCAACATTCTTTATATATATAGGCCTATACATTTTTTTCTTCCAACGGCTCTAAAACTACACCAAAGGCGCAATTCCCACGTGATACGAGGCGGGAATGGAACGGCACAGTACTTGCTGACGCGACGCGTTGAAAACCTCTAATTTGCCAATCCAATACCCCCCCTCGTACACACACACACACACACACACACACACACACACACACACACACACACACACACACACACACACCCTTCCCCTCCGTCCTCGGCGTCTGCAGCAGCACTCTCTGAGCCCGCGGCCACGGCCCCGGATCCGTCTGTCTCACCTGCGCCGCCGCCGCCGCCGCGCGCTTCTCCATCGCGGGGAAAGTTGGAGGACTAATTCACCAGATATCGCGCGCGCTCGTGTGTCGCTGTAAATCCAGAAGAAGAACAACGCACAACGCACAGCGCTCTTTGGAAAGCGGGGACTGTTGAGGACTTTTCCATTTTTTGTTGTTGTTGTTGTTGTTGCGGTTACAGACTCGTTGATGAAATGATGCCAGCCTGAAAAGAGGAGACGGTTGTGTTTTGTTTGCAGCGTTGGAGGAGACAGCGGCGCCGGATATAATAAGATCGATATGGTAAGCGGCAAAGAAGAAGGGGAACAAAAAAAGAAAAGAAAAAACACTGCATCCATTTCTCAGACTTATTTATTTTCGAAATGTTTCCATCGCTTTTTGTAGCCAGATGTTGTTTTACAAGTGTCCAAAGCCCGGGGACAGAGATCCATGACGCGTTCATTTGTCAAGCATTAAAAAACAACCTGGGTGCTGTAGGGTGACAGACGCACCCTGGGGAGGAGAGGGAAGGGGGGAGGGGGGGGGTAATACAACATATACGGCAAAGAATGAGACCAGTCTATTCATTGTGTGCGCTGTGTGAAATGTTAAAGACACGCGTGGGCTCTCACTGTGTTTCCAGGGGACGATGCTGACCGTGCGCGCGCGTCCGTGACGGCAAGCGGCGTCGCGAGGAATACGGCGGATTTGTTTTAAATGGAGAACAGCTCAAGGAGGACACATTGCGTGCAAAGTTGCGCGTCTTTCTGCTGAGGGAGTTATCCAGCGGCTCCCCATCCATCCATCCATCCACCCACCCCCGTCGAATCAACATGAGTCCACGGCGAGAGATGGGACCGCTTCGCTGCGTGGGACTCACCGCTTTTCTCTTGTGCACAGGTGAGACGCCCTCGACCCCCCCCCCTCTCCCCTCCCTCCCTCCCTCCTTCCCTCCCCAGAGAAACCTACGCTAATGCCAACGAGAACTTGTGCGCATACAGCTGGAACGTGAATTATGTTAATGAGAGGTTTTCATCGCGCCATAAGTGCCACTGTACATGCATCAACCTTCTGGAGTGGTTTTAGTCAGTTTGGAACATTTTAATGAAATGCAAATGATTTTCTTTCTGCCAAGAGGACACATATATGATTTATGAGACACATAATTAGCTGCGTAAAGCCGCTGTGGCAGCATACACAATGACTTGTAGCATTAACAGGAATGAACTGTGACAGTTGCCTATGGGAATGTGTGGGTTCGGGTGTTGTAGCGGCACTGAAATAGGATGCGGTGTGAGAGATGGCACTGCAGAGCACCGGGGATAACAACAGGCTATAGCAGACACAGACAAAGAGGGGTGCATCTTTTCACTAAGTTCTGCAGTTGAGACAAATCATGACTTGCGTGTGTGGGTAAAGTGAATCTATGTTTTTTTTTCTTTTTTCGGCGTCTGCATCAACATTTCTTTGGGTGTGTATGTATTTTCCCATGAGACTGTGAAGGTTTGGCTGTAATGTGCGTTTTTGAAAGATGCGTGGGTGTGCAAAAAAATCCATATGGGAAATATTTGTTTTCATCCTCGCTGTTTACGTGCCAATCATAAGGCGTATATATAATGATAAACCGTTTCACTGGGCTACCACCACAAGACAAGATGTCAAAGATCATTCGGTAACACTGCAACCGCATCTATTTATATGAAATGGACTTATTTTATTAGTGTAGTTTTGTCCAACCTTCAATAACGCTCACATTTCATTTAAAAATCTCCATGCGACAATCTTGGGATGCTGTGGCCTCTGGGTCCATTAGCTGCAAGAGCAGTTCGATTATTTGACAAACTCAACAAAAGCCGGTTCAGGCATTATATCGAAAGCACTAAATGCTTCAGATAAAATGTCTGAATAAATAAGTGACTTATTTGCAGAGATGCCAAAACTTGTGCTCAAACCAAAGTACAGCTCCTCTATAATAACCAGTGAAGATTCTTCACTTTTATTAGTCCTGTACCCCCCCCCCCCCATCAAGAACACATTGTCTTAATTTGTGACCTTTGGTTTAGTTGGTCAATGTCACTAACCTTTGGACAGAGACGGGCTAAGCTCTGCTGCACGTAGCTTTGTGTTTGACAGAGAGACCCGAGTCTTCTAATTAGAATATTCACAATGGACGCATTGAAAAAAAAAACGAAATCAGGAGAGATGCTCTTTTCACTAGTTGAAACCCTTTCCATAGTCATACAGGTTGGCTGAAGATTTATCCGTAACCACCTGGTTCTAGTCGGCCACTTAATCTTTGCAGCTGAAAGTGGAGCGGGAGGGGGGCGGGGGGGGGGGGGGGGGGGGAATTTTCACACCGTGGAAGAAAAACTCTCGGTGTGGCGCGGGCCCAAGAGAATATATAATTGTCCCCCCCTTTGTTTTTTTTCCCCAAAAGGTTTTAGGGTGTCTCTCGGAGACACGCATACTGACAGGCACATGCTGCAGAGGACACCTGCACACACTCACATACTGTCAAACTGACCATCAGGACATTTGGAAGTACTTCTAATAGCCTCGCACGCTGTAGGATGTGATGGGGTTTGTATAAAACATGGCAGATTGAGGGATTGTCATTTCTAAGTCATGTAGAAAAGGTTTAAAGAGTGAAAAGCTGCCAATTTCATGACGTTAACTAACCTCACACCTACCGTATACCAACCAAATGTCTGCACACTGTAGTCTCCATCCTCTGTTCATAAGAATGTGAGGATGAAGGACCGTGCTGACTCACAGCCTGGGCGGATTCTCACTCCCTGCTCTTTTGCACATGTGTGGGCCCGGACACACTGGATTGGGATGGAAAGTTGAACATTTACAAAACCAAAAGCCCACAGCTTTGATTTAATAATCTCTCTCTCTTTCTCCTCACACATACATTTTCACATGCTGCTTTATCTGTGCGGGGCAATAATGTATGAGTGAGGTTAAATTAATGATTAAACGGATAGTGCGGATTTGTTGAAGTGGGGTTCTATGAGTCACTTATGCGAATTCAGTGGATCATCAGCCAGTTTGGAGAAAAAGACAGCGGAGCTGGGAGCAAAGCAATGTGGGGCTGTCGGAAAAGTGCAGCACAAAACTTATTTTGCCGCCTAAAAAAAAAGATTGTGTGACTTATGTGTCTTAAAAAGTTACATTGGATTGCAGGAGAACAGCAACTTCTGTTTCCTGCAAGGTAAAATGAACATGTGATGATAATTTACAAAAAGAACATCATGCTGTATTGAATAGGACTGGAAACTAGCGATTGAGACCCCACCTACAGTTCAAGGGGTAATTTTCTCACAAGGCTTCATGCAATTGCACAAAGAATCCATATTATAAGATAATTTTCACAACTGGAGGTTGTTGCTCGTGAGGAACAGGAAACTACATCCCAACGCAGAGCTTAGGCAAAGATTGTGGTTGGAATTAATAGAAATGATGTCATTGGTCCAACTCTGGTCACCAACATGAAAGTCAAACATTCCAGAAGCTCATCTTGTAGCCCGACCTTCACGCGCTCACAGTTTGCCTCTTTAGAAAAAAGGTGCACTGCTTCTTGCACCCGAATCGAATGAGGGCAATTCGCAAAGACTTGTGAACCTAATTCCTAAAGGTGGCGATGATGTAAAAATATCCAATAAAAAAGGAACCGGCGCAACTGAAGCAACATCACACTGTATAATAGTCAGTCTTTAGTTATTGTACATTAAGTATATGAAAAGAGAGGGATCGTAATGCGCTGTTGAGTCTTTTCTGATATTGTCTGCCGGCAAAACCTGAACACAACTCGAGTGTATTATCCAACAGTTTTATCTGGTGGACGGTTCTGGAATCAGGCATCCTGCAGCTGAGTAGGCTTTGATGCTGATGAAATGTCTACCCATCGGGACTTTTAGTCAATTTAGCCTGACAAACAACTATCAATATTGTGCTCCTTGAGCTTGTGGAGGGTCGTTTTCCAGTCTAAGTTCAAGGATGTTTTTCAGTCTCCGTCTGTCCAAACATTGTCAGTTTAATACATTGTTATCCTGACTCATTTTATTATTATTATTTTTTTTTTTTGACAGGCATGACAGGCAATGCTTTTGCAATGATTGCACCAACATGTAAATGCAGTATTTCCATGTGCCTCCGTCTTAATATTATTCTACGTTTTTCACCTCAAAGAATCTTGTTCTAACCTTTGGGACCAACGTTTGCATGTTGAACTCATACTGCTTGACGCAACACGAGTCGTTTCTTTCAGTTAAAAAAAATCAAAACGACACGAATGCGGAATCTGTAAAAGGGAGCGAGTGTGTAACATTTAGGCATGTTCATTAGTAGATGTTACATATAATATTCAGAACTACAGTATGTATGAATTAAAACAATCAACCCAAAGTGCTGCTTTGACCGGCGTCCGTTCACGTTGAGAGGCTGCGGTGGATTTGGCCACACTGAGGTCAATCAGTGTGTGTTTAACAGTCTAATGGGCCAAAAAAAAAAGGGTAGCGGTAAGACTTGAAACAGATTATCTCATGTCAATATTAGGCGAGAGGAAGCACACACACACTGTACACACATTCAGGCTGTCAAGTCCCGGCTTCCACCACCCGGAGAGGAAACTCTGGTGGGCTCGTGTCTTTCTAGCTTGGAGCATCTCTCGGTTTCATTGTTGGAAGAGATGGTCGCGGCTGAGAGCTGCTACACAATTCCGCTTAAAGAAAAAGAAGAGACCAACAGAATAAGCTGCTGTAGGAAACGTATATGGTTATGGCCTCCCCCTCTTGTCTTTTTTTAAACTCATGGTTCTCCTTAAATGGTTTAAAAGGCTATTCTGTGAGCTATGTTCATTACCATAAAACAAGAACTAAGAGACTTCTTACTGGAGGCATTGACCGGAATACTAAAATGAATTCTGCCCGTTCGACATCGCGGAAGAAAGCGTTTGAGGAAAAGTCAAGGTTTATCACTCTGAAAAGGAAGACATTTTTGCCTGTGAAGCAAAAGCCCACAAATATACAAATACACATTTAATAGATATTTGCCAAACCCAGTGCAAAAATGTTATACCACTGAATGAAATGCTCCTGTTATAAAGTGATGAGGCTTGGTCCCTATGACACTATATTTTACACAAGGCTTCAGAAAACGGCAGAAGGAAACTGCAACAGGGCGCCATATGTCATATTATATGAATCACAACATATGGACACAACTCATGAAGTAAAAGGTCACATTTCTGTTTACTTACTTACTGCCATAAACTGAGGTCTATAATAAGGCCAATTGAATTACAAAATTAAACTGAACTAACAGTTCTAAGTGATATGTAAGCAGCTTCATTGTCTGGTTTTAAAAAAACAGCTTCAGTATAGTCCAATGTTTATTTGACAATTTTTCAAATCATATTGAGGCTACTTTAAAATATCCCACAGGAAACCCAATAAAGCCTCATCTCAACACAGAGCGACCTTAAGTATTGTAACGTACATGTTATCTTTAATTACAGATTATCCCTGCGGATTGAGAATCTCTTAGAAAAGATTAATAACACATATTTTAGCTCAGACTTACAGTGTTCAAACCTTGTGATTCGAGGTGCAATGTTGTCATCGGCTACTTGGGGGCAAATGAAAGAGCTGTGAAAACCACACTGACATGAAGCTTTGTACCTGCCGAAACACATACAAAGCAACATCATCTCTCCTCCAACTCCATGAGATAAATACGTGAGTTTCTAGCTGGCCAGATGTTCGACTTTTCCCCTTAACGTGGTATGTGGTATTGAGCTTTTTCTCAGTCAGTTGCTCAGAGTTCTTTCGGTGCGTCAAAACAAAACGTCTTGAAAATTTGAGATTGATGAGCTAGACATTCCGACCACACATATT